TAATCTGAGTGTCCTGTAACCACCAGGACCACAAACAGCCTCGCTAGCTAACGTGTTGAGCACTAAGTATGCGCCAAGCCTCCCTCCCTTGGAGGACATTAGGACAGCCTATGGGAAAGTGGGGTCCTGACTCTGATCCGCTCGCCTTCACGTTTGATGGTGGGCAAGCGTCTTCACCTCTCCGTGCCCTAGTTTCCTCATCTGTAAAAAAAAACCCAAAAAACAAAGCGGGATGATGATGGTCTTTGTGGGGCTGCTGTGAGGGTGGAGTTCACGTGGAACCTTCTGAACACGTGYAAGTGATAAAAGCGGCGTTGGTTCTCTGTGGTTTATCACCCCACCTGAGGTTCCTGGTAAGGAAACAGGCATTAAGTAACTCACCGAATGTGGCAGAGACAGGAAGTGACCCAGTGCTGTCCAGCAGAAGTTGCTGCAGTGAGGACCGTGGTCATGCTGTACCCCGTGACCCYATGGGGCTGCTGGGTGCTGGGAAACGTGCCGATGTGACCAAGGAGCTGCAGTCAGCCTCTCGTGTGATTTCAATTAGTTTTCACTTTGGAGGGCACGTGTCTAGAACCTTCCGTGTTGGACAGAGCAGGCTGTAAACCCTCGCAGTCAGGCTGTGGCTCCCGGGCCACCTTGGGGTCCCTGCCTCTTCCTCGATTCAGTCTTTTCCACAGAGACAGAGGGACCACCCCCCGTCCACGCCGTGTGCCTGCCACGCGCTCCCCGAGCCCGATCCAGGCGCCCAGGACCTCGGGGAGGCCGGCTGCTGACTAAGAGAGCCTGGTGCTGCTGTCCCACCTGGGAGGGGACAGTTCCTCAGGATCCTCAGTGTCCACAATCGTGGCGCTGGTTGCCGGGACTCTTATCTGCTCGGTCTCTTCAGGYCTGTGGCCTTTCTTCGTCCCTCGTCGTCGGTTGAGGGACCCACATCTTCTCTTTAAAACACTGGTTGCTGTGGTGCCATCTGCCTCACCTCACGTTGGCCATTCCGAGCGTGCAGCTCAGTGACATCAGGGACATTCACCTTGTGCAGCTGTCACCCCACCCTCCAGAACTTTCCCATCTTGTAAAATGAAAGCTCTGAACCATTCAGCCATAACTCCATTCGCCCCCCCTCCCGCCCCCGTCCCCCCGGCCACCATTCCACTGTCTGTCCCGGTGACTTTGACTACCTCATGGAAGTGGGATTCGGTAGTGCTGGTCTTTTTGCGACTGGTTTGTTGCACTTGGCATGATGTCCTCAGGGTCTGTCCATCTTGTGGCACGTTGTGGAATCTCCTTCCTTTTCACAGCTGATTAATATTCCACTGTCTGTCTGTTCTAGCTCTTGCTTAATTACCCTTTCACCCCTTGATGGACACCTGTTTGCTTCCTCTTTTTAGATAGTACAATAATTCAGTTATGAACACAGGTATACTGACAGCTCTTCAAAACCCTGATTTCTATGGGGTGGGATGTTGCAGGCCTGTAATATTAATGAGTCTGAGGGAGGAGGATCACAAGTTTGAGGCCAGCCTTAATAACTTAGTGAGACCCTGTCTCAAAGAATTAAAAGGGCCAGAGTGGTAAAGCACCCCTGGGTTCAATCCCCAGGACTTAAAAAAAAAAAAAAAAAACACCCAGAGGGGAATTGCTGGCTCCTATGGTCATGTTATTCTTAGTTGTTTTGAGGAACCAGCAGCTACTTCCCACAGTGCTCTGCTGTTCCAGGCTCCCACCAACAGTGCTCAAGGGTTGCAGTTTCTGCACATCTTCATCGAAGATATGCACGTGACTTTGTGTTTTTTTGACAGCAGCTGTCCTAATGGGTGTGAGTGGCCACATCTCATTGTGGTTTTGATTTGCTTCTCTCTGATGATTAGTGACCTTGAGCTTATTTCATGCTTAGTGGTCATTAGTGCATCTTCTTTGGAGAAATATCTCTTCCAGTCCTTTGCCCTTTTCAGATTGTTGGGTTTTTGTTGTTGAGTGTTAGGAGTGCTGTGTCTAGTCTGCCTATTAATACCTTACCAGAAATGTCGTTTGCAGGCTAGGCGTGATGGTGCATGCCTATAATCCCCAGCAGCTCAGGAGGCTGAGGCAGGAGGATGGCAGGTTTGAAGCCAGCCTCAGTAACTTAGTGAGGCCTTCAGCAACTCAGCATGACCCTGTCTCTAAATAAAAAATAAAAAGGGGCTGGAGATGTGGCTCCGTGGTTAAATACCCCCGGGTTCAGTCCCCAGTACCAAAAAAGAAAAAGGAAAAAAAAAAAAACCAACATTATTTGCAGATATTTCCTCCCATTCTATCTGATGCTAATTTACTCTTTTATAACGTCCTTGATGCACAGAAGTTTCTAATTCACACGAAGTCCAATTTGTCTGCTTCTGTTGCTGCTGCTGCCTGTGCCTAAGTGTCCTATCTAGGAGATGACKGCCGATCCAGGGTCCTGAAGCTTCTGTTCTTCCAGTGCTGAGGGTCCAGCCCAGGGCTTGGCACATGCCCAGCAAACGCCCAGCCTCTGAGCTATACCCCAGTCGGTCTCCAAGCTTTTGCCCTGTTTTTAAGAGTTTTATAGGCTTAGCTCTTTGGCCCATTTTGAAGTAATGTTATTAACCAGAATTTGATGGAAAGGATTTTTTTTTTTTTTGATGCTGGTGCTGGAACCCAGGGCTTGCACAGGCAGGGCAGCCCCTATCCCTGAGCCCGATGGGTGGGGTTTCCTGAGTTGGCCAACCCCATCCTTGTGCTTAGAGCCGTTTCTCCGTGCCTGTGTGTGTGGCCACGGCAGAGACTTCATCAGTGGGGCTTCGCACTCTGGGGCACATCCCGGGAGGTCACCTCTTCCAGTGATGCTAAGGTTGGCCGTTGGGTTCAGGTGTTCCCAGCCCGACCCACCCATTACGCYGCAGCTCAGAGATGACCCCAGAGTGGTCAGTGCCCCAGGAGGGTCCCGCCCGGCCCGGGCTGTGGGGACTGAGCATTGCACTTCTAAGGGGTGGCCCCGTGATGAAGCCCGAGGGGGCCTCCCCCTTCAGAGCCACCCCATTGCTCCCTTAGAAGTTTCTGTTCCTTTAGCCTAATGCACTTGGGATCCCCCGGAAGCTGCAGGAGTGCTGGGTCTGGCCCCACCGCCAGTGTTGCCGTTTAAATGATTCTGATGTGCCAATCTGGCAAACCACCCAAGGCCCCAGTCCTCCAGGTCACACCATCCCATCTCTCCCTGCACCTGGCCATTTCCCCRAGAGGGGTCAACAGGTGGACAGCAGTGACAGAATTGATCATCTGATCCTCCGGACCTGCACCCAGCCTAGGGCGTGACACAGAATGAGGACCCAGCTGACCCTGGAGGCTCGATGATTGAGTCCACCCTGTGCAAACCTGCGTGCGCATTTAGGCTTTGGAATGCTCTGATCTGTGGTTCAGGATGTCCGTTTCCGTTTTGTCTTRTTTCACAGGCTGGGGCTGGACTCAGGGCTCGGTGCATGCGAGGCCAGCCCTCCACCACATCCCAGCCCTTTTTATTTTAGGACAGGGTCTCACTCAGTTGCACAGGCTGGCTTTGAACTTGTGACCCTCCTGCCCCAACCTCCCAAGTCATGGGATTGCAGACGTGGGCCACCACGCCCAGCTAGATGTTGGCCTCTTTAGGAAACCAATTCTAGAACTTTCTCTTTCATTGGCAAGGCTTTCAAAGTYAGGGCTCTTGGGGATGTAACAGGGTGGTGACATGTGGTGGAGTGACCAACTCGTCTCTGTTGTCCTGCAATGTCCTGCTCTCCAGGAACCATCCACAACCCCAGCTCACAGGGACGGGGTCGGCCTCCTTATTCACTTTGAAGGAAGGAGGGAAACTAGCCCTGTGGACTGGGACCCTTGTTTCTAGCTCCCTGGTTTTACTGTGTCACTTTAGACCTGTTACTGGCCTCTGGGTGGCCAAAATAAAGACACTCTGTGCCCAGGATTTATGGTTGACACCAGAGCCTGGCCCCAGGTTGGCAGAGAACACTGTGGATGAAGCCCTCACCCAGGAAAGGCAGCCGAGACGGGCGTCCGTCCTGCTGGGGAGACAGGAAGGCTCTGTGAGAAGCTGGGGGAGGCAGAGGCCTGGGCGCCCAGCAGGGTGGCCTTGACTCCCAAGGGCGGGCAACCCGAGCCAGCCACCTTGCCCACGTCTGAGTAGTCAGAGCCCCTTTCTGAATCCTATTTTCATTTTTGGTGCTGGGGATTGAGCCCAAGGRCACTTTACCACTGAGCTACATCCCAGCCTTTCCTTTTTCAGACAGGGTCTCACTAAATTGCCCAGGGTTTTTAAGCAAAACTAAGGCTGGCCTTGAATTTGCGATCCTCCCGTCTCAGCCTCCAGAATCGCTGGGATTAGAGGCGTGTGCCCCACCACCCAGCTCTGTTCAGAATTCTGGGGGAGAGAGGAGGGTCGCCATCAAGTTTGGGGGGAAGGAGCTTTGCCGTCAAGTTTGGGGTGAAGGTCAGGATCAGGATGAACTCGAGGAGGGGTAATATTCAGCCAACGACCGAGACCAGGTGAGGGGCCTGTGTAATYAGGCGTTCGCTCTATCAATTCATGGTCTCTGCCCACCTCTCTCAAGCCGAGGTCTGCGGTCTTGCTAACGGAAACTCTTTTGTTTGATATCACCTCCAGGCTTTGTGTATAAGGTGTACAKGAAACCACAGGATTTCGTGTTTAGAGTTGGGTCCCCTCCCTCCCCAAGATATCTCATTGTGGACCCGCACATATTCCAGAAGCTGAGAAAATCCAAACTCTGAARCACTTGGGTTCTCCAGTGCTTTGCATAAGGGACGGCCCAACTKTTTTGAAGCCTCCGGGTGACCTGGTTCTCACCCCCTCTATGACCTGGCCTGTGACCTAACAGTGGGGCTCAGAACCTCCCAGGAGGCCCTGGCAGGGAGGTTCTTTGGGGCCTACACCGTCAAAGCTGAAGGGTGGGGGGGTACTTCAGATATTAGAAGTGCCACCGCAAATTGACCAAGGGACAATGGTAGCCGGCAGTTCCAGATTCCTACCCAGCCCACAAGTTCAAAGACCAAATCAGGTAATTTCACTCTTGCCCGAGGCCCTGAACGGGAGGCTAATGAATAATCTACTCTGCCGGTGTGTGCCACACCCAGTGTGGGTTAGTTTCCGCCATCCTGTCACTAACCCTTGTCCTGCAGTAATGTCAGGCCGGGGTGGGGAAGAGGCGCCTTTGGGAACAGGCAGGAAAACCTGTCCCCTCCTGTCCCTCACACACACCCACCGCCACCAACACACRGTGTCAGAGGAGCACGTGGCTCAAGCCAGCCTGATTTCCATCCCCTGCACCTCAGTTCTCCCGTCGTCACGTGGGGACAACCACCCCCACCTACCTCGCAGGAGAGTCGTAAAGTATGGGACAGGCCAGAGCCGTCATGTCACCGCCAGGTGTTCAGAAATAAGCTCAATGCCAGGTTGGACCCCGTGGAATCCCCAGTCCCAGGAGCCTGATCCCCTGGCCCCGGGCCAGCTGGGCACGCAGAGGTGGCAGCAGCAGAACAGACACCGCCCCTCCTCTGTGCCCCTCCTGAGAAGGCAGCTGTGGCTGTGACGGGCTGYCCCAGGGCCAGGGGCCGCCACGGCCCTCACTTGGGACAAGTGCCTGCCTGTAAGGAAGCGGGACTCCTGCTCTCTGAATCGCTGAGTCACTGAAGCCTGCAGGCTCCAGGCACCTCCCCACCAGAGCTGGGGGCTGGTGAGGGGGACTCGGAGCCCAGGTGCCACACGGAGGGTTTGTCCATAGCACCCGCAGACAGGGGAAAGGCAGGCCTTGCTGGAGCCTCCTCGCCCCCCACGTCTGCAATGGTCCCCCCTGGAGGCAGGTCTGGGGGAACCCTGGCAGGAGAGAGGAGGGTTGGCCGGGCAGAAGGGCTTTGGGTTTGCACTGGTCGGCCATCAGCTGCTTCACCCATCAAGGCCACCAGCTCCCTTTCCAAAGGGACCACTTAGCTTCCTGCTGCGAATGGAATGGTGGTGACAGGTCCCCTTAGGGGCTGGCGTGAGACGGATGCTGTGGGGTCCCAGTCCACTGTGGGAACTGGGGAGGCGCTGGCACTGGGCGGCAGCACCATTTCCTAGCTGGGTGACCTACTTCCCTGCCTCCTGCCTGCCTCTGGGAAGCCGGGTGGCACCCAGTCGTGCTCAGTCATGGGAAGCACTTGGAAGGGTGCCTGGGACATGATACGCACTCAGATACTGTGGCTTCCAACTGCAGGGAGGTGGCTGAGCTTCAGGAGAGCCGGGGCCCAGTGTGTGTGTGTGTGTGTGTGTGTGTGTGTGTGAGAGAGAGAGAGAGAGAGAGAGACTTTTCCTTGAATATCTTCACCTTGCTAAATCACAGGTAGTTCCCCCAACTTCCCAAGTGTGATGCTGTCACAAGACCTTTGCCTCAGGCTCTTCCATCTGCCTGGGACGCCTCCCCCAGCTCTCCCTTGTCCTGCCTCCATGGCCAACTCCGTCACTTCCTCTGGGAAGTCCTCCTGCCTGCCATTACAARCCCCTGGTACAGCACACTAGGTCCCAGTGGCCCAGATCCCCCCCCATCGGCCTGGCCCCCAGGACTCTTGGCTGCTGGAAGGGCTGGGCTCTGGCCTGCTGCCTGCAAGCCCCCCCGTGCCCAGCACAGGGCCCAGACGCAGTGACACTCAGTAAATACAGAGTGAGCAAACGCAGGCTAGACAAGGGCAGAGGAGCTCAAGATGCCCGGATAACGGTACAGGTCAAGCATCCCCGACCCCCAAACCCAAAGTCGGCAATGCTCCAAAATCTGAGACACTTGAGCACCAACACGATGCCACCAATGGAAAATCCATGTGACACGTTGGAGTTAAGACACAGGCCCACTAAAGCCATTGTGTGAAATCGCCTTCAGGCTTTGTGTATAAGGTGTACATGAAACAACGGGATTTCCTGTTTAGAGTTGGGTCCCCTCCCCAAGATATCTCATTATGGACAGGCACATATCCCAGAACCTTGGGTTCTCTGAAGTGGTAGTAAACTGCTGCTGTCAAGGATCTGCCCTGCGCCACGGGACCTAAATAGGTCACTRATTGAGCCCTCATGACAAGACCTGAGACCGATGCTTTGGTCACCCCATTGTACAGACAGGAAGACTGAGACTGCACAGGTTAAGACGMCCATCCAGTGGGTAAGAGCTGGAACTGGAGTCAGTCGGTTGAGCTGGACGATGGGGTGGCGAGTTCTCTGGGGCCTCTCTGTTTGTGTTCACATTTAAAGAAATGGAAGCCTTAACCCCGTGATCAGCAAGCAGATCAGCGGTGACCGTTCACCACCCCACCCTGTCTCACCGGATATGCACCCTCAACCACGGTCACGGCCCGCCCACGTGGCCTCTTCCTAGCAGGTCACTGTATAGCTAGAATCGAGCGCTGCTGGTCGTCCCTCTTAGGTATTTTCAGAGTGGACTCTCCAGGCGTCCCTTCGCCAGGGCACGGCACCTCATGCCTTTTGTCCCCTTTGTCTCTTGCAGATGTCATGGCACCCCCAGTACCGGAGCTCCAAGTTCCGCCACGTCTTTGGCAAACCAGCCAGCAAGGAGAACTGCTACGACTCGGTGCCCATCACCCGCAGCGTTCACGACAACCACTTCTGTGCTGTGAACCCCCACTTCATCGCAGTTGTCACTGAGTGTGCTGGCGGGGGGGCCTTCCTCGTCATCCCCCTACACCAGGTAAGGCCCCCTGGACAMCCCGAAGCCCAGACAGGTCTCTGGAGGCAGTGCCGGCAGAGAGAAAGCAGGAGGAGCCTAGGTTGTAGYCCACAGGAGGGTGCAGTCCTAGCCCTGCCTAGTCCTGGTTGAGTGGCCTTGGATGAGTCACTCTGCCTCTTTGAGCCTTGTTTCCTTCTTGTTTCCTTCCTGGGATTTCAGCTTCCAATGTCTGGCCTAGCTGGCCTGGGACCTCCTCTCCCCGCTGCAGAACAGTTCTGCGCATTAATCCACCCCTGAGGAAAATAGAACTTTTAGTGCTTTGCTGGACTCATATGAGATTGGGGAAATCTCCAAAGTCATCTTTCCCTGCAAAAATCAAAATGAGAGAGAGAGAGAACAAATGTCAGGCAGGAATCCAGGCAGGATGAGGAGGTAAGCAGGAAGCAAGAGCGAGATCAGGCCTGTCCTCAGAGCGGGCGTGGATAGTATAGATTGCACCTGCCGATGCTCACTGTTTCCYACTCCCAAAAGCAATGCTTCACACGAATCCCTCTGATAGCAAATATTTTCAGGATAGYGATGCTGAGTCTCGGCCTAAAGGCAGAACGGTAGGGCTCCCTGGTTGGAAGTGCTTCTGGTGCACAGCAGAGCAGGTGTGAAGCCAGCGCCGGGGCCCACGCCTGTAATCTCAGCAACTCGGGAGGCTGAGGCAGGAGGATTGCAAGTTTGGGGCTTTGGCAACTTAGCGAGACCCTGTCTCAAAAAAAGAAAAAGTAGAAAGAGCTGGGGATGTAGCTCAGTGGTAAAGTGCCTCTGAGTTCAATGTCCAGTTCCAAAAAGAAAAAAAAGAAAGAAACAGGTGTGAAGCCTCTCAGGGAGAAGCAGACGGAAGTCAGGGAAATAATAATTCACCAAGGCCACTGTGCAGGTGCGCCACCATGAGTGACAGTCAGCTGAAGTGGGAAATCGCAGACCTAGACCTCCAAAGGACTTCAGAAGTTAGGGTCATAAGTGCAAATCAGAATCCTCTAGGTAGGGTGTTTTCATCTTCTTCCTTGTTCTCCGTATTATCTAGTTTACATATGCAACCCTTTTTTATTTTTGAGTCAGGGTCTCATTAAGTTGCTAAGGCTGGCTGCCAACTTTGTGTGTGTGTGTGTGTGATTGTGTGTGTGTGAGTGTGTGTGATTGTGTGTGTGTGGTACTGGGGATGGAACCCAGGACTCGTGCTTGCTAGCCAAGGCTGTACCACTGGGCTACTTCCCCAGCTGATCAGACTTGGGATCCTTCTGCCTCATCCTCCTGGACTACAGGCATCTGCCCCCAGGCCAGACAACAGACAAGGTTTAATGATCACAAGAAATTGAGTTAGAAATCAATTCACACTGAGTGTTAAATTCTCCTTCCGGGCCAGGTATGGTGGCACACACCTGTAATCCCAGCTACTCCTGAAGCTGAGGCAGGAGGCTCACAAGTTCAAGACCAGTCTTAGTGCAACTACTTCAAGATTTAAAAAGTAAAAAAGGACTGAGGATGTAGCTCAGTGGTAGAGCGCCTCTGGGTTCAACCTCCAACTGAGGGGGGGTAAAAAAACGATTAGGAGAAAAATCCAACTTAATAAATCCAAAGAAAGAATAAAAGAGAGGATACAAATAACATCAGGAACCCAAAAAGCAAGGGGCTGGGGATGTGGCTCAAGCGGTAGCGCGTTCGCCTGGCATGCGTGCGGCCCGGGTTCGATCCTCAGCACCACATACCAACAAAGATGTTGTGTCCGCCAATAACTAAAAAATAAATATTAAAAATTCTCTCTCTCTCTCTCTCTCTCTCTCT